CACGACACAGGTCTTGCGTCTATATAAGATGCTCCTGCTTCTGTATCTGAACAGTGCCTATCAGGAGATGTAGGAACAGAAGAAATCTCTGGCCGTTTGCTGCGGTGATCTAAGACTCTGGGGACGGCTGTGGCTTGCTGCGGAAGACTCTTGGTGCTCATCTATGTTCACGTTGGTTCTCTCTGTCATCCCTCTTTGGTGGTTGATGTATATGCTAGCGGAATACGCTGCTTCATCATGCTTGAGAAGGCTACCTAGACGGTCATCGTTAAAGTTGAGCTTGGTGATTGGCCAGGTGCAGAATGTGACGGTGGCTAGGGATGAGAACTTCGCAATCAACCCCGGTTGGTCTTGCTGTATCTTTCTCGTCGTCGGCATAATTAGATGTCCTTGCCCTGAATTTAAGGTGGGCGTCTTGGCCTGGGACGCGTTGAACTTTGTGCCGATGCTGCTTTAACACAGTACTGCTCGTCGGCAGGCTACTTGAAGCTGATGTGGATCTATGTTTGAAGTATTATTCCCACACAATGGGTCACATTGTCTTCCGCGTATAGTATTTGGCTCTTGCTTCTGTAATGCTAAAACGCTCACGACTCGAGGATGTTATACCCACCGGCTTTTTGAAGCGGACTTTTGCCCTGTTCGTCAGTGGTGGCTGGGTATTGTTTTGAATACTCCACTGACGATCACGAGTATGATGTGGCTATGGTTGGGGTCACGATATGTGATGCTCTGGCTGTTAGCGGTCTTCTAGCTTATGGTGAACGTAGTGCCTGATTATGTGTCGACCAGCTTGTAGATGGGCTGTACTGCAGCATTGCATTGTGATGAATCTCATCCTCTTGGAGTTGCGCGAGATTTGTACTCAATTCTACATAGTAAGAAACAGTGTTTGAAATCTTTGATATTTTGGGCCTGAAAGCGAAAGAACGGTGGAGGTGGTTCTATATAAAGCGCGGATATCTGTTCACATAGATAGCGACCGAGACAGAACAACGAAAATCAGCTCTCCGAACCTTTTCATGTAAATGAAGTGATTTTGATAACCCTGAGATGTAGAGGCTCTTCTTTGTGCTGTTACCCTAACTTTGGATGCAGACATGACATCATTCTCTGTCTCCGCCTTTGACTGTCTGGAGGGTATTCTATTAGAATCGTTCGCGGTGGTGAGTGGATGTGTGGGGTGAGAGTCTTGGAAAATGACCGAAGAAGTTTGTGAGACTTCCTGACAGGTGTTGGCGAAACACAGATTCGCCTCCAACGTCGTCCGTCGTCTCTCATTTCCAGCCTGTTTCTGGATGACGGAAAGCGTTTAAGCTACCTTTATATAGTGCTGCCAATTTGTCTGGGCTTTGGACGGTCATCTGGCGGCATGGTCTGGTGCATGTTCGATGTTGCGCCGGTCAATTGACAGCAGTACTGTTGCAAACACCCTGTTGGTGGCCAAGCTTTGCTAGCTGGATCTCCGGGCGTTTTTGTTGTACAGGATTTAGCTGACGGCAACGGTCATGGTGCCAGTACATGTGTAGCTTTGGTCCTTCATGAACTTGTTCGGGAGCTCCAAATCCACATCCATCATTCCATGTATAAATTGGATGCTTCTTGGTAACTCAAAATGATCAACAATGAACTCCGCTAGTATGATTTTGCCTGCGATTTACCTTGCAATCACTGCATCTTGCCTCGGTCGAGTCTGGCAACCGCGTCTCGTCCTCTCAACGCGTTAGTCAGTCACTCAAACTAACGGTGGCGTGATCTCCGGTCTTCATCTTCCTGCCTTTCCCGTCTATTCGATGCGAAATACGTATGTAGCTGCAAGACGTTGCTTATCTTAGTGGGCTGTATGAGCACACCAACTAGGCAACGATCCAAGTGGCAGTACATGGGACGTGATTCTAAGAGAGGTCGAGCCACAGTCCAGCCTCGGGAACGGATTTGAATTGCTGTAATTTACCACCGTATGTTGATGTATGCTGTTTTTATAACTACTTCATGATTATTGGATATCAGCTGGTCTTGTTGAACTTCAGTTCAAAATGTGAGACGGACGGACACCTTGCTACATGAGTGAGCGAGAGTCTTTCGGAAAGCTATCCAAACCAATCAATGCGTAGGCCTGACATCTTCTCTAAGACTAAGACTTACCAACTCTTTGCGCCTTGCGCGAGTGTTTGCGGGGAAGTCACCTGTTACGTGCTTGCCAAAGTGATTGCGATGCCTCTTGGTCGAACACTAGGAGGTATCGTCTTAGGATCTTTGGCTGGGAATACTCTCCTGAAGTTGCTGAACAATATCAACACGAATGAAGGGCATTGTGTCTCTGCAAATCTACAAATGCTTCCAAACACATAGCCAATATACTGTTCAACCGCATACGACATACCGTCGGCGGTCGGTCGAAGCGATGACGAAGACTCATGTCATGAACATTTGATGACTAGGAATAAACTGTGCGAAAGTACCATCATTATAAGTAGCCTGCCTATTGAAGCGTTCTGAAGCTCTCAATTCGGGTCTTCATCGTGTATTCTTCTGTCCTTCCACCATGGCGAGCTCGCAGACTGCGCCCACAACGGCTATAAATGGAATGAGATGGACTCTTGGTATTCTTTCCTAAGACAATGAACTGTGGAGGTGAAGTTACGATTTCGGTTGATTCAAGTTCCACATCCTACAGCTTGGATACGACGTTCTTTTCGGTACAGGATGAGCGACGCAGATGCTGTTAAAGTAACCATAAATTTCATTCACAACGTCTTCATTCTTCGCTTATTCTTTGGGATACATTGAAGCTAAAATATTTATGAACTTAATTTCCCTGAACGCTGCCGTTGTCTGGCTGAACAACTGCCAGTTTTGACGTAATGGAGATGAATAACCATATCATTTGATTGAGGATTCCAGCGAGAGTATTTTCTTTTGTCTTTCAGGAATGATATGATGTTCATCAGCAGTGACGAATGCCAACCTGACATTATTCAAAATTACTATAAACCTTGGGTGCCGCTTTCATCAGCTTGCATGGCCGCGCCCTCATTAACCTGCCTTGAGCCAAGAACGACGCTAGCCCTCGTGAGGCATGATGCGCCACCCCCAGACAATCAAAAACCAGCTGAACTTCACAATTCTGCCTGCTCAACAGTCTCTCAGGCGGTAAGGTCTCAGCCCGACGCCCCGCTGGGCTGAGGTTTTCTTGGCGTCTATTTAGCTGAAAGCCTGCCAAGGCTTCATTCATCCCTTCATCGGTGCTTATTGTGCTATTTCATACACTCTTCCTCTTCATACACGAAATCCAGACCATCAATCCCGTTAGTCCTATGCTTTTCTGCTTCACAAACGGGACAGATGGATTCCCGCAGCTACCCCTACTTCCCGCCGCCTCCGGGTCAGCCCGGCGCGGTGCCCCCGCCCCCGCTCCCACCGCGCGCCGTTAGCCCGGCGGCTAGCTATCCTCCTCCGCCGCCACCATCGGTCTCGCACGCGCCATACCAACCGTCTCAATAACTTCAAGGGCCCCAAAGCACCGGAGGGTCTCCATCTACGTCTACTTCGAACCATGGGCACCAGCACTGTTCACCGTCCTCGCCCTCGGCCATTCCTCAAGGATATGATCCAGGGAAGTGGCCTCAACAGCCGCAATATGGGGCGACGAGTCCGTCAGGGCAGTATCAACATGCGTCTCAAGGATTACATGCTCATCCATCTTCTCCTACCGCTGTCTCACAGTCGCTTGGTCCGACGACCCACGCATCTCAACCCTTCTATGCTGGGTTGAAGACCGAAAACTGCTTGGCTCCTACCAGAACGTCAAGAATAAGGCTCAGCAAAGACTGTCGCAGTATCTAGCCCAGACAGGTCAACCAACGCAGCATCGTGACTATGGATCACCGCAAACGCAGACACACAATATGAGCTTGCCGCCAATCTCATCCATCTCGCCGGCGAGCACGACTTCGCCGGCTCAGCATCACAACCCACAACGCCAAAATCAACAGGGCGCATATGCGGTTTCTACAGCGGTAACTTCCCAGAGTTCTCAGTCGCAGTTCAATGACGGTCCTTCACCAGCGTCTCAGAATCACCACTACCCCCCTCCACCGCCGTTACCAGTCAATACTCGGCCGGCGGAGAACCATGAAGTTGTTCCGGCTGATGCTCAGTACATCACCGGTGAGCCTTATCACTACCAACCCTTTGGTCCATCCAATGTGGTGCAGGCAGAGACATCAACCTCTTCATCTGCACTCAGTCCTGAAGCTGTCGCACCAGCCGATCAGCAGCACACATCCTATCCACCTCCGCCACCCATACCCCAAAAGACATCCCTTGAAGGACCGGATAATGACCAAAGCAACTTCAACGATGCTGTGGCAAGTGTATCTACCAGCTCCGGATCAACAGCCCCTTCGATGCTGATTCACAACTTACCCCTGAGACCTGCACCGGCACCTTCTGGGCAGCGACCAGAATCCAGAGACTCGCCGCCCTCTGTTCAGCAGCGACCTACTACAAACACTGAGCAAGTCCGTTCTCGGCAGGAAAATACCAGTTTTCAGAGCAACCCTACACGAACAAACACATCGAAGAGCTCAGACCCTGCCCTCGATGGATGGAGAAGAGCAGTACCAATACCCGTCTTTTCCGAAGACGGCAAGCCCAACGATATCATGTGGGATTGTCCCGAATCACGAGTCGTCGATTACGAGACAGATTGGTATCACCTACCCGACATCCCAAACTTCACCATCTGTACCTGCTGCTACGACATGTACCTTGCAGCTACTCCGCTTTCAGACTCGTTCAAACGTGTCCCGAGGCCCAGAGGGGCATGTGGCTTGAAGGCTCATCGCGTAACCAAAGTACTAATACCACAATACCTTAAAACGATAGATCCTCAGCCTCTCCGAGACTACATGACGAAACGTCTTAGCATCCAAGACTGTCACGGTGTAGGCGGCGTGAAAGGAACTGCTGGCGTCAAGTGGTTCAAGCCACTTGATATGAGACTGAATGGCTTCCTTTCATGTGAGGCCTGCTTTGAAGAGGTAATCCTAGGCACAGCCTTCCATCAAAACTGGGCATCCTACGACTCAACTCAAGCCGAGGACGATGTTTGGGCGTGCGATATCTGCATTCCCTACATCGGTCGGATCTTGATCAACTACTCCTTGACTCGTACCTGGGAAGACTGGATCCAGTCGACTATTAAATACCTAAATCTCCCAAGGTGCGAGAAAGAACTGGCTGTTTCCCCATTTTCTCGAAAATGGGTGCGCTTATCCGGCGGACGCGTATCCAACCTCAAAATCTGCGAGAAATGCTTCGATGAGAATTTGGCATCCACACCACTTGGCTATGAATTCGAATTCATTACTGTAGAACCAATTACCAAGGGACCGAACTGGATAGAGGTGGCACTCGGCCATCGCATACAAGAACCCGAACCCTGGCTCTGCAGCGTGACGAACAACTTCCCTCTGGCTGCGGCCATGTCCATGGCTAAAGACCTGAGAAACATCGATGCTCTTGTCAGAGCAGCAAAGACTATCCTAGCGAACGCCCCTTGTACTGAGAAAGGAACCTCCCGAGATACGTGGTACACCTTAACTGGCGGCAATGCCCCCGAGGACTTCAGAATCTGCCCGGCTTGTCACGCGGCGTGGGTCAGCCCTCTTAAGCTTGATCGATTCTATGAGGTAGCAAGAGGCGTAGACCCTACAAAGCCGTTTGTCTGTAGTCTTCATCCCTCAAATCCGCGATGGACGGAGCATATTAATCGGTGGCAGGAGGCTCTTGAGACGGGTGTCTGGTCAAGATTTTCCAACTGGGTCCGCACGTTCGCCGATGTTCCACCCTGCGCAGGAGATGGACAGATTACGAACGCCAAGTGGTACGGCTGGGACGACTGCACCATCTGCCCAGAGTGCTGGGTGACCTTCTGCAAAGACGCACATCCCGCCGCCTCCAGTCTGCCAATGGATTATCACAAACAGATCGTGCCAGACACCAGGATGTGCTGCATGTACTCCTCGCGCATGCGACAGAAGTGGGTGGAAGCCTGTGAAGTCGGCAACGCAGGTAGGCTTGTGGAGTTCTCTAGGACGAGAATCCAGATGTACATCCAGACGGTTGTGGAGATCCGGCGGCTGAGAGTGGTACACGAGATGCAGGTCGTGCAGTCCTTGAATGCCGGCACCCAGAGCGCCGTATGGGGCAATATGCAGAGCGCCAGGGTGCTTTTTGGTACGACTGACGGGTATGAACCCGGGAATAGCACGCTGGGATGGCATGTGACGACCGAGGGGGTCACAAGTGCAGCGTACCAGCGTGAGATGAATGGTCTCAGGGACCAGTCTTGGGGGACTCTGATCCAGATTGAGCATTTGCAGAACCAGTGGCAGATGTTTGAGTGAACTGGAGTGAAAACCAAGTTGGACGAGATTACCGTCGCAGCTGATAGGAATACATAAGGAAACTCAAGTCTTCGTCCTCACTTCGGTTATCAATGTGCCTCTGCACAACGAATTGTCGCTTGGACAGTAGCTATTCGCACAGAGGTAACTTGGGAAAACAGTATGCGTTATTTACATGGCATGAAATCGTCATATTACATTCTTTCCCATGACAAACGTCTCCAATACATCGTAGGAAAAGCCGAGAGAAGGCGGCGCCGACTTCATCAGCCAGACAGAGCTTGTGCATGTACAAGTTTACACATGTCTAGCCTTCCCTATTCATGAGACCGGACTGAAAACTGAATTAAAGGCAATGGACTGTACGAGGATTTTTGTTGTGCCTCCGAAATTTCAATAGCCTTCCTGGTATTTTATAGCCAGTCATAATGGCGCCTCCAGGATCTTTACGAAGAATTCTTGACTTTGTGTTCGGAGGGGAAAGGGCCATTGTGAGGTTTTCTTCTGGTTTGTGAACGTTCCCTCTTCTTTTTGTCAGCGCCTCGGTCTTACTTTCAATCCATATGAATACATCAATTCCAATTGAGACTATACATACTAGGTGTTATATTATCCACGGGGAAGATGTGATTCATATTCAGATTCAATCACGTTTGCACGCACACACATATGCATACATATATATATTCCCATCCCCTTGATTTCTCTGCAAAACGCAAGGAATATCAGAGTGAACGCATCATCATGTTCAGGCAAAGAGTTATGCCTAGCCAAAAAAGGAAGTCTACTCCATCACCGGCTATCACCAGTCTTCTCTCTGAACAAGCCGGCTTTCTCTCGTTCTTTCGCTGTTACGTTCACTGATACACTGCAGAACCTGAAAAACGGCGATGAAGGACGAATGCATAGCGTCGAATACCACCATGATGATGAGTCTTAGGCAACCTGGAGTGTGATAGATCTCTACACAAGCAGGACAATGCAGCGCGTTCTTGAGTGACCGGACATTTCACAACAGTGCCCTGGAATCAGCATTTGTTGTGGTTCAGATTTCAAATATACCGGTCAACTAATTGAAATTAAATCAGACTATCCTCCAGTAAACGCATGTTCTATCTTGGTCTGATGGAGGCGGACGGGCGAGTGATACTGCCCGTGATCTTGACCAACGTTGTGCCACATGTCCGCACACACATGTAGCAGTCGTGATTGCCTTTACCAAGCTCTCATACTATGCTACTCTCGGAATATCCGTATCTTCATCGAAATAAGTATCTGAACTTACGCAAAAAAGACAAGAGAAACAATCAGAGCCGATTAAACTAGGGTTGAGTCTGGTTGCGATGCTTCCTACGATCTCCAGCCCCATCTCTCAAGACACATCTTGACCCCCCTGCGCTCCCCTCATTCTTTGCGAAGCATCTTCTTGACCATTTCCCCCTCATTTCAACTTTTGGTTATTCTTTCATACCTAGCAGATTACCAGCCTACATGTACACGTTTTCAGCTTCTCTATAACTGTATTTACGAGGCCCGCGTGGACCGGGCTAGAGACACCTATGTAGGCCAACATAGGAGATTTTCAAAGAGGAATACGAGTCGCCTTCCAGAGTCCAGATACCTTCTCCCCGTAACACCACAACCGCTTATTCCATTCCCTGGATGTGGCTCTCTTCCTCCAATAGAGAGGGCACAGAACCATGACTTCAAATTTTGTCTCCTTCAAACAAGAGGTCACTCTTTGATAAACACCATGACTCACCCACGGCGATACATCGACATTATGGGTTCCAGACACCGTCATAATACCTTCGAACGAAGTCACAATTGTTGGTCTGCTGCCACCAAAGTAACCACTCGAAAGGCTGAACATTTGCAACAAATCCTATAGCCTCACCATACAATGGTATTAGAGCAGGTTCATGACGTATATAAATACCTATACAGTCGTGCGCCGAGGGAACAAAAAAAAAAAAGAAAAACAATCAGAATAAATCGTATTTGACCACTGGGACAGGGCCTCCACTGCTTCTGCTGCCTCACTCCTTAGACCTATCCATCCTGCAGACAGACCTCAACTTCCTAAGTCTCCCCTGAAATTCACACCCATACTCATCCTCGCGCAGCTTCGCCTTCGAATAAGCCAAAGACAAAGGTCAAGGCCGGCAAGATACAATCAACCTCCAAGCTAGTCTTCGACGACAATCAACCTCATCTGGTCCAATATCATCAGCAAGACCCTGCAGCCGGGGCTGTCGCGCATATCCATTCCAGAAACAACGTTCAAAATGCATTATCTGTCATGCCACCAACGAAACCACCAATCACTTGAAATATATACCTGGTTCCCACCTTCGCCTCGCTCATCACGCACGACATGAGAGCGGCTCATGATGCATATAAATACACCAACATTCCCCGGTTGAGCAACCGCAAACAAGCAATTGGTGGAGGATAGTCGTAAAACTCCTCCGTCGCTCTACTCCATGAAGCATGTTTTTGCCATCGTCTCCCACAGCTCCAAAGTCAATGATCTAGCTACCTTGGCTCATCGTTCCAGACGGTGCTTCTCATCTCTGTCCGGAGACTGTCCACGAGTATTCATTTGAGCGATGACAACCAAGTCTCAACTCTTCGACACCATTGTTTGTCTCTGACCCACAAAGCGTTCTGAACCAGTAGAGCCACACTTCTTACTTTTTTCGAAGTCTTTTGGAAGCCAATTCCGCGCGGGCTGGATTTCTGCGTCCCGCAGCGACAGGCTCGATTATATACCCCTCCCAACATGCTCACCGTACCTTTCAAGCCACTCGGAATACCAAATATCACACTTGCACCCAGCAACAACCAAACATCGCACCAGAAAATACTAAGAATTAATGTTTATCCATAGTCATTACCTATCTACTCAACCCCCAACCCCCTTCTCTCACCTTACCTCCTCCTCCTCCTCATCCCCCTCCAACACAATCTCATGCCCATCCCCCTCCCACACAACCCAGCTCGCCAGCACCCCCAACACCGCCACCCCGGCCAGCCCCCACCACACCGCGCCGACGACCCCGCCCGCCAGGCCCTGCCCGTACAGCCACCCGCACAGCACCGGCCCGATCGTCCGCGCCGCGCTGCTCACGCTCTGCCCCAGCCCGTGGATCGTGCCCAGCACGCTCGGGTGCGGCGTGCAGTTGTTGATCAGGATCGTCTGCCCCGGCAGCGCGAACGTGCGCCCGAGCACCTGGAACAGCAAGACACCGACGATGGCGAACCAGATCGCCGGCCCGCCCTTCGGCCCCGGCGGCAGCGCGCCCGGCGTGGTCGGCACCACCGAGAGGTACGGCACGAGGAAGTACGTCAGCGGGAAGAAGTAGAGGAACAGCCGCCACGCGCGGACGGTGCCGAGGCGCGCGGAGAGCCGCGGGTACACGAAGAGCTGGAGGGTGATGCCGATGACGCCAAGGATAGCCATGGCGAGGCCGACGCTCTGCGGGGGCATGCCCAGCCCGCCGGTGAAACGGAAGGGGAGGTGCGGCGGGGAGGTCGAGGTGGGCGTGGAGAGGAAGACGAACCAGAGCGCGTTGAAGGTGCCGACGTGGAAGGCGAGGAAGAAGTGCGCGGAGAAGGTCATGACGACGTTGCGGGTGAAGATGCGCCGGAAGGGCAGGCGGTGGGTGTAGCGTGGCTTGGGTCTCTTGTTGGGTGCGGGGTGTTCGGGGGACATTTCGACGTCAGTGCTGCTGGCGGAGCTGGACTGCAGCTGGGCGTAAGCCGCGTCGTCGAGCCGTATCGCGCCGCGTCGGCCGTGGCGGAGCCGGGTCCAGACTCTGCGGAGGAGGTTCGCGATGCTCGAGCCGAGGCGGCGTCCCGGGTCCGGGCCCTCTTCGCGGAGGGCGTCGAGCGTCTCGTCGAGGCACAGCCACACGCTCAACGCCGCGCACGAGAGGAACACAGCGCTCAGCAGGTTCGGCGTCGCGTAGGGGTACTTTTTGAAGAACTCCACGTCGCCGAAGAGGCCCGGGTAGCTGCCGGCGGGGTCGGAGAGGATGCCGCCGAGGATGGGCCCGATGATGACGCCGATGTTGAAGGTCATGGGCAGCAGGATGAAGGCGCGGGCCTGGAACTTCTTCTCGCGGACGATTTCGCTTATCATGGTCCGGAGGACGCCGACATTGCCGTTGGTGGCGCCGCCGATGCAGCGGAAGAAGAGGGCCTGCGCGAAGCTCTGGGAGAAGCCGAAGCCGACGCACGACAGGCAGGTGCCGAGGAGGCCGATCATGAGGACGGTCTTGCGGCCGAAACGCTTCGAGTCGGCGAGGCGGCCCCAGATCATGGCCGTGATGAACTGGGCTGCGGTGAAGGAGGCGTGGAGGATGCCGGCCTGGGAGGAGATGACCGAGTCCGGGAGCGTCGGGTCGAACCACTTAAGTTGGTAGAACATGTAGGACTTGGATTCGTGTTAGCAATTTCATGTTCATTCTCTTGCCAAGGGTTAAATCTCATGTGAGGTGTGAGATGAGAGCTGCGGGGTCAGAATGAGGACAAACCTGTAGGGAAGTCTGCACGAGCGGCTCACTCAACCTCGTAAGCGTAATGACCAACAACTGCTGCTTCTGCGGCAGATCGCGCCACGCGATGGGCTTGGGCTTTTCGGGCGGTTTGAGCAGCTCCTCCTCCTCTCGCGGGTGTGAGAGCGCCGCGCCGGGCGCAGCCTCGACTTCAGGCCCGGACCCGTCGAGGGTACTAAGTATGCGCGCCTCTTCACCCTCCTCGTCGGACCCTTCCTCTCGTTCGGAGTCGGCATCGTCGTGATACGGCGGTGTCTGCACCGGTTCTTCTTCAGTGCGCGGCGGCATGGCCTGCCGTCGAGGTGGTGGTGGATGCGGTTGATGCGTGTGCGAGCTGCGACAGAGGTACGTCCGACTACTGCTACAGAAATCTATTCGGGCAATGAACGACGTCGATCTAAGCACTATGCGGAATGATGTTGAGGCTCTAAGTTGTAA